TGACAATTAGGAACAATCTATCATTATTTATCTTATCAGGTGTCCTCAATTTTAACTTACCAGAAGATCCCTATCTGGTCACTCTTCAATCTTCTTGGCTGCAGTGAAAAAGTCTCGATCTCTCCAGTTCTCTTCATAACTGTGATAACCCTGATAACATCAGCAGGCTGAGCTTGAGCACTTAAAGTCCTAGAGGTTCCTGAAGTTATCAGATTTCTTGTTATTATTTTGGCATTTATAGTTCACTGTCATTAACACTTTCTGTACACTGGTTTTATGGAACAAAGAATTCTTTAAATAACTGAATGTATCATTCAGAAATACTGATAGTGTGTAATTGTTTGCATGGATATTAGGTAGCTAAGTCTCTATGCAAAACCGTTTGAAAAGTGCTGAACTATTCAACTACGGTGAGCGTCACAGGTGGGCATGTTTTTATTCTCAGTCAATGTCCCACAGAGTTACGGAGTAATGATCAGCAGTGGGTAAGCTGCTACTTTTAATTCTGCTCCTCCATAGAATTGTTGAGTCATAGACTTCAGAAGGAGGCCATTCAGTCCTTAATGTCTGTACCAGAGGATTGAAGCCAAATGCAATGTCTGATCTGCATTTTTAACGCATACTATCAATATCGCTGAACAAAGTGGAGCCAGCCCTGGGGATAAAAGATGTTTAAAATATACATGGGGCAAGTTTCATTATCTTTTTATGTTACTGATCTGAGAGATTTTTGGTAGAATAGGTTGGGATTAACTGTGCTGCACTTTTTTTATAGAATTAGAATTAGGTTTTATTGCTATGTATACTCGAGTACAGAAGTACAGTGAAAAGTGTACAAAGTTGCCATTCTCTAGCATTGTCATTAGGTAGAAAAACCTGAATTTAAAAAAAACACAACCATCTAAAGGTACAAAAACCGGAATTAAAAAAAAAACAAAAGCAGAAATACAAAAAAAAGACAAGCAGAAATGGTGAAGCATCCAGATATAAAAGTCCAATCTTCATAAGGTAAGTGGGCCTCTATCCCCACAAACCTGGAATCTCAGTGCCGCCCCCGCAGGGTCTCAGATGCCACTCCCAGGGTCCCAGGAAGTCACCCCCCCAGGCCCTGGGAACCCGCGCACACCCCCCACCCCCGCAGGCCCCTGGAACCCGCTCCTGCTGCTGCCACAGGTCCTCAGAACTTGATTGTTTCTCTCAAATGTTCATGTTCAATGCAGCTCCAGTTAGAGTCTGAATAGTGAATCCATATTTAGCTCTCTGAGAAATGTTGTCACCGCATTAAACTTTAAATAAATACTATTGACATTAAACAACATCCAACAATGCCTAGTCAGACAAGCTCATATTTAATACTTTTCAGGCGGTTTCATGGGGATTTGCTCTGGAGTGAATATCTTCTTTGCAATTGAGCCCTTACATCTGTCAACAATCAGGAAAAAATTACAAAAATTTAAATGAAGATATAAAACATATTGAAGGCATCATGATCATTCTAGTAGCTAGATATAATTACTATACATGACAAATATAATGATGACAAACACCAGAGCACCTTTACTAATTCAAAACAGTGTTACAAGTATAAGTCTAAAAGCTGCAATTACAATTCATTGATTGTAATTCAATATTCAGTACAAGCCCCTAAAATAACTTTATTTAAGCAGCGTCATTGTACAAAATATGTTCATTCATGTCATTCAATTTTGCGAACAGAAATAAGAAACCTATCATTCCAACAAATACATTTAAAATTAGGAGACTACAGAACTTCCCAAAATTTCAGATAATGAGCAGAATGCTGCAGACACACAAATGTGTTGGGGAACTAAGACAGACAATCACGCTTTGCTGATTAATAGAAACCTGAGTATTTTTATGGAAGCAAGATCATTCTTACACTATTTACAATATGTGCAACCTCATGTTTGTGCTGGTGATGTATGTTTGTATGAAGCATAAACAACAGCAGAGTGGTTGGGCCAGGTGACCTGTTTGTGTGCTGTCAGTTCAGTGTTCTCAGGTCGGATATTTTAGCCGGTTTCTGATTGAGTACAATGTTTTGGCCTGTAGGAGGCTCTGTAATTTTCTCTGAATATGCTTTTGGTAGAAAAATGATTCCACAATCAACAATCTTTCAATGGAATTTGTTTAAAAAAATGAGTAAAAAGTAAAGTCGCCATAATCCCACTGTGTCATTAGACAGATGATTAGTGGTGAATTTAATCTTAAGGTCGCCATACCTCAGGTGAACGGCAAGGATGAGAAGCTTCACAATAGCCTCACCTGTTGCAGGCGTTTATTCCATGCTTTGGGCAGCTCTCTGAATTGCAGACCAGTTGTCCAGCTGAAGAGTGCAGCCGTAACAAAACTCAAAGAGCTTGACACCATCCAAGACAAACCAGCCAGCTTTATTGGCACCACATCCACAAACGTTCATTCTCTTCACCACCAATGCTCAGTAGCTGGAATATGTACAGTCTCCAAGATGCACTGCAGAAATGCAAAAAGCGCCTTCAGCACCATCTTCCAAAGCCACAACCATCACCCATATGTTAGGACAAAAGCAGCAGATACATGGGAACACCATCACATGCAAATTCCCCTCCAAGCCACTCACCATCCTGACTTGGAAATATATTGCCATTCCTTCACTGTCGCTAGGTCAAAATCCTGGAACTTCCTACCTTGTCATATTGTTGGGAATGTTTACATCAAATTGCAGCTGTTTAGGAAGGCAGCTCACCACCAATTCTTCAAAGGCAATTAGGGATGGGCAACAAATGTTTATCCAGCCAGCTAAGCCCACATCTCCTGAATAATGAAAAAAAGTCTCAGCATATTTTCCTTACAATTAACACACACAAACAGAGAAAATCGGAGCAGGAGTAGGGCATTCAGCCCTTCGAGGCTGCTCCGCCATTCAGTATAATTCTGGGTGTTCGTCGAACTTAGTACCCTGTTCCCACTTTCCCCCCATACCTTTTGATCCCTTTAGCTTTAAGAATTATATCTAACTCCTGCTTGAAACATTCGATGTTTTGGCCTCAAATGCTTTCAGTGGCAGAGAATTCCACAGGCTTACCCACCCTTTGGGTGAAGAAATTTCGCTTCATCTCAGTCCTAAATGGCCTACCCTGTATCCTTAGACGGTAATCCCTGAGTCTGGACTACCTGGGTGTCAGGAACATCCTTCCTGCATTTGCTACATTTTATCCTGTTAAAATTTCATACGTTTCTATGAGATCTTCCCTTATTCTTCTCACTCCAGTGAACATACTGCTAAATGATCCAGTCTCTCTTCACGTGTCAATCCTGCCATCCCAGGAATCCATCTGGTAAATATTCATTGCACTTCACAGTCAGAATTTCCTTCCTCAGATAAGGAAACATAAACTGCACAAAGTACTCCAGGTGTGCTCCCACCAAGGCCGTGTACAATTGTCCCTGTTCCTGTACTCAATTTCTCTCATTATGAAGGCCAACAAACCATTTGCCTTCTTCACTGCCTAATGCACCTGCATGCTTATTTTCAATGATTAGTGTACAAGAACATCCAGGTCTTATTGCACCTCTCCCTTTCCCAATCTATTGCCTTTCAGAAAATAATTTGCCAAAGTGGATAACCTCATATTTATCCACATTATACTTCCACCTGCCACTGCAACAGGCAAAGCCACTTTAGAAAACCAGTGCAGCTTTGATTACTTACTTTGAATCAGAAATATTTTGCTTGAATTGACTTCGGATGGTTTCAAATGAAAGCTGAGGTGATGTCACAGGTGCAATTGTGCATGAAGAAGTGGATCATGGTAGCCATAATGTTAGTGTCTATCTACTACACTTGGAGCACATACCTATTTGTAAAGCACGGCTTCACAACATCCTTTTTGATGATAGGCCAAGCCTAACATTTTAACCAAGCCAGATGTTAGATGTTGAAATATTCATTACAAACCTCCTGCTTTTTAATATATGTATATTTGCTTCTCTCCAAATCTTTAGCAAACTTCCAATTCCAATGAATTCCTTCAAATCCTTGCAAGACCACATCCAATGTTTGCAGCTATTTCCTGAAACACGCTTATGTGCAGGCTTATTCGTCGCAAGTCCTTCACCTCTTTCAGTGTGTTCAATATTTTTGTCACTTTATGATTGCGAAGTACAATTGGTCTTAAAATTTACTCCTTAATTCCCAGAAAATTAATTTTAACTTTCTGGAAAAAACTAACTCGTGTCACTAAAGAAATAAAATTAAATCCAATTTCTATCACTTCCATTGCCTTGAAAGACTTGACCATTATTTGTTTTTGATCTTCTCTGGATGAATGAATGGAAACCTATCTATTTGTTACACTCCTTGGGATTTCATTGAAACATGCAGAATGCTTAGAGGGTTTGACAGGGTATATCTAGATTGGTTTTGTCCCCTAACTGTGAAGTCTGTAAACATAGGATGTAACCTCAGCTAAGTCAACTTAGAGACAATTTCTCCACAGAAGATTCTGAATCTTTCAAATTCTGTATTCACGGGTGACGTCATTCCTCTGAACCCATGACATCTATTGACTATTAGAAAAGCAGTTGGTGCATGGGGACACCATTGGCAAGTTTCCCTTTAAGTCAAACACCATAATAACTTGGCATTATGCTCAAGTCCTTTATTATTCGTGGGTCAAATTCTGCAACCTCGAACCCCCCCCCCCCCCAGCACTGTGGCTGCAGTTCCAGCAGATTGTCCATCAAGGAATGTGAAGAAAGTGGATTTGAGCCAGAAGAGCAGGTTTGCAGGGGCCCCCTCCTGGATTCTAATTTTGACAATTAATACGACTTTGTCATTAATCTGTTCTGTTTCTCAGCGGTGTTGTAGTACAGTGAGCACAGTTGGTTAATGTTGACTATAAAAAGGTAGGTAGTTGAGACCTGGTCCTGACTAAATTGGCCCCCATTATTGATGGTGTCTCTGCAACTGGGAACAATAAAGTTGTTGTGATTTGAAGGCGGGAGTTTCCGGTCTGGAGGAGGAGACTTCCGGTGTCATGGCGGCCCCCGGGCTTTGGTGACGGTTTCGGGTTTGACTCGGCTCTGGCCACAATGTCAACGGCGCTGACAGAGCGGCAGGGAGTCATAGGGGACCTGCAGCAGAAATCAAAGGCCGAGCTGCTGGAGCTGCTGAGGCGGCAGAAAAAACTCCAGGCCAATCGGTCAGAGAATCAGGAGGGTTAAGGGGAGGGTGGAGAATGGGGATGTGGTTAACCCCGGGGGGGTGATGGGGATGGGGATGTGGTTAACCCCGGGGGGGTGATGGGGATGGGGATGTGGTTAACCCCGGGGGGG